TCTGCGATCGTCTGCGATCGTCTGCGATCGTCTGCGATCGTCTGCGATCGTCTGCGATCGTCTGCGATCATATGGAAACCAGCCTTTAAACATAATTTTTTTCGCTATCTCATGCACCAGAAGCATATCACCTAGGTGATATGCTTCTGCATGCACACATGGCAATAGAAACTGTTGCATGAAATCAGTATCGGCAGTTGTAAACAGTTATCATAATTAAAGTGTTACTGAACTGGCTCGTTTGGTTCTTATTCATATTCTTATTCATAATTTTTCCTTGTGTACGATAGCTGATTTAAGGTTGTTCCCCAGTATTGCATTGCGCATCCCTTCTGCGCATAATTTCACGCGTGATTAGCGCGCGCGCATTACAAAATGGCGGCTTTTTCTTTACAGCTGGACCTCGCCAAAGAGGTAAATCGTCATTTTCTCGCAAACGAGTATGGTGACCTATCATTTTTTTCTGTTGTTTTGAATTGAGTAATAAATTTCTCTGTGTTAAATAAATATGGACCAATTCTCAGCGTAGAACAAAACGCAATCGTCGGAAACGTCAATTTAGCAAGCAATCGTAACTACAATCATGGTGCTATTATAAGGATTTATATGGGTATATACAAGGTGCTTTTGCTCCTAAACGAACATGGGGATCCCTCATTTTTATTTCAAAATTTAAGTTCCTATAATAAAAACAAAAATCTAAGTGCAGGTTCTATTTCAGCGGAATGACCTTGGGGTCATTCCCCAGTATTACATTGCGCATCCTTACTGCGCATAATTTATGGCGTCATTAGCGCGCGTTCGTGCACGCGCACATTGAAAACATGGCGGATTTGCCTTGATATTGAGTTCTGTCAGTTGAAATATGGCTATAGCTCACTAACGAGCTCGGACACCCCAAATTTTTTTTCAGTCATTTTAATCAACTAATCATTAGCTTTTCGTGAGAAAAGACTGATCTGATTTCTATGTTTGAAAATTGAATAAATAAGAAGAATAGCAACTGCACTGTAGTCTCTTCTATTTTGCAGTTTGATAACCGTGGCAAGCAATTTGGTTCCAATATTTTAACAAAGTTTCAGCTGTCTGTCAAAATCAAACTTAAAAAGTTTATTTGTGTCCGACAAAGATATTGACTGTAGTTTAAGGCGTGTTTTCATGAGTCCGGGCTCACAAAGAGTTTACCATAACTTGGAATGCGTTCTTGTAATAAGCATTAAATAACGCTAAAATGGGACATTTTCAATGCCTCACTGCTCCTTAACGAGAATGGGCACCCCCCTTTTTTATTTTATAATTTTTGCAGTTTTATTTCAGTGGAATTACCTTAATAACTTCTTAAATTTGCTAATTGCACAACGACCGTAATGTATACAATAATAAAAACAAAAAAAGAAAATTGAATGTGAATTGGGCCGTTCGATCAGCAAGTGTCTTTTGCTTTGGGTATTGTAAGGGCGTGGTTGATTTTAATTTTCTGCAAGCCGGAGTCTGATAAGGAGAAATTTAAAATAGCATGCGTACTTGGCGCGATTCGCGAGTGAGTGATTTTTTGGGCAGCGGAGTCGCTATTTTACTTCCGAGAGGAAATAAAATTTATTTCCGCGAGATTTGCGTAGTTTATTTCTCGTAGTGGGGTTTGCTTATAGCTCCAGGGCAGTAGTATAGTTCTTCTAATTGACTGAAGCGCGAGGATCCGTATGAAATCAATTCGAAAATATAAACTATTTAAGCCCTCCATATCCTGTTGTAACGGTTTGCTGAAAACTTTCGTCCAGGTAAAAATGATATCGAGGCTGAAATTTCCGAAATTTTAAGAATAGTTTAAGAGCCGTACCCGAGGCTGAGATTTTGAAAAGGGTATAATTTTTTGTTTGGAAACTTTGTAAATACAATACAATACAAGTGCTTTTAAATAAACCGTATAAAATTCTTCCTTTCTCTAAACGGCAAAACTAGCCACTGAAAGCAACAAAAACAGCACTAGCCGTATGTTCGATGCTAAGAAGTTACCAGGCTTTAATTCCTGCAGGCTGGCTCCAAAATTACTTTAACACCACCCAGACACCAAATGCATTCGAAAACAGAAATGTCACACGCTATAATTTGAGAATATTCACAAGAATATTTTCAGCCTAAAATCCGCAGATAAATGAGAATATTCAGCCTCGGTCGGAATAACAGTATCGGCATTCTAATGAAAAAGGAGCGTAATTAATTTTTTGGGAGGTTAACAAAAAAGAACTTACTGAAAAAGGAGTCATAGATTCGTTGTGAGTGGTAACTGCACAACTGCCAGTAGGCAGGCTCTTACCTGCACGTTCTTTTCGCCCTTTTGCCAGGCTGGATTTTATCACGAGATGAACATATGTTTGATACGAAGTTCACAGCGATATAGCATTGTCACGTTGTGTGACACTTTTAGGAGTTACCCCACCCAGCGCCATTCGAAATTCAAGTGGTTATTAGCCAATCACATCACGAATTTTATCCAGTTCGTCCAATAGAAATCCACGAAAGAGCATCACCAGAATTGTGTTCCTTGAAGCGTCTGTCGCTGATCACGTGATCAAGCTTCAGCTTGGTTTGTGCCTTCATCCACCATCTTGCTTCTTGTAGTAACGATGGGCTTGAAGTGTGTAGCGTCCGTTTTGTGGTTGTCCCACTGCTTGTCAACCGCGTTTTCAGGTAAGCAACAGATAGTTTCTTGCAGCGAAGTTTATTTGCGTGTTCGAAGCGCGGCAGTGCTCGAGATTTTTGCAAGCTAGTCCACGCGGGATTTTATCGCTCGACCCACCTTCATATCAGCCCTAAATTATTCGTTATGTGGTTATTTTAACATAATAACTTGGTTATGATACTTTCGTTTTCTTGCTCCCTTCAAAAAGAGAAGATCTGTTCTTTTGTGGTTGCCACGAAATAAATATTTCACGGAAGTCGAATAGATGAAAATTCGCTTTAATTTGGAATTTGCTTTCTCCACGTCAAGTGTTCGATGCAAAATTAAAAGTTTTCATATTCGCCCTTGTAAGCCGCCAGTACACCTGTGTTATATAGGAGATAAACACGATGTTTCTTTACTTTTGGTTTTACTTTGATTTACTTTTCTAATTTTTCTGCAAAGCATCGTTTTTACCGAATGATTTAATACTTCGTTTACGCAGGGTTGTTTATGAAAATTCCAAGTTGATCAAGTTTGAAATATTCTGTGGTCATCTCAGCGTGATCGATGAAGGAAGGGCTTTTTCCCTTAGAAATTGCTGTTTATTGTTTGAGATATATACTTACGGCAGATGTGTTTTGCATCTGTGTTTACACTTGTAGCTCTCGCGCGACGAAGTTAATGTTCGTTTCATTCGCACAAAATGTAGATTTCATTGCGAATGACTGTAGTGCTTCACATATTATGCACGCATTCTTGCTTTATTTCAGAAAAGAGAAAGGAATGTTTTCATTGCGTGAACGCGATCTCGTTACATTTCTTTGCCATTTCGGCTCTGTCAATGTTTGATAATTTTCTTGTGTGACTGCATGTACAAGTACAGTATCGACCAAACGAACTGCGAAGCTTTATCTTCCAAGATCTGCTTTTTTTATTTCAAATATAAACCGTCTATCAATGCTTGTAACAATTTATAACCGCTATGTAGACCTATTGACTTTGTTAACTTGACCACTGCTTTTCTGTTTCTCTGTGAGGTAGAAATTGGACGTTCCATTGTTAATTTTCGTTCTTCGGGAAAGATTTCCTTAAAAAAATACTGGAAGTGCCTAAATTAATCAGCATTTTGAGGTATCAATACTCAACAGCGTAATGTAAATACTCTGGAATCTTTCCAGAGTTCTTTGACAACATCCTCATTCCTGTTTTATGAATTTCTGGCTGTTTTATAGAAACCAGGAACAAAATATTTCTAAATTTAAGAGACACAATTGGTCAGCCACAGGTTTTATACATACATGTACTGTAAGTGATTTCAATATATTTTCTTTAATTAATTGTGGTTATCGAGATAAGATGCTGATCAATGTCGTCACTTTCCAGTGTGCTTGTAACTGACTTGTCTGCATAAGGAAATTTTTGTTGGAAAATAATGTTTAGGTAAAGTTTTCTGTTATTGTAGATGTTGAATTGAGTATGAAGACAAGATTGAAAAAGTTGGCAGATATTTATATGTTTCTGTCTTCCTGCGAAATTTGTAAACATCTCCCTCACTTGTTGAATTATGCGGAAATATAACGCTGACATCACATATCCATGCAATACCTATTTTTATCTCGTCCTTTCACATATTCATTAGTTTGGCTCATGTTTCACATACATTGTAAGGAAGTGGAAACTTTATACATTCCTTTTGTGGTAGAAAGAGCGCATATGGCCGGCAAGGCATCGGGATGACAGCCACATGGTCAGTTATTGTTGACAATTTTGACAGACTGGGTCGCCTCTAGTCTTGTTTATTGTACACAGAGAAATGATTTTGTAGAAATTTGCTGAAATGATAGTGAAAAGCAACTGCCATTAACATTTAATTACAATGCACATAATTTGTAATAAAAATATAAAAAATGTTTTAAACAAATGAAAATGAAAGATATCCTATTCTGTATCGTAGCTCTACAATTCAGTGGATATCTCTGTACATGGATTGGAAAGCCTTTTAGCACTTAACATTGCAGGTGTTTCAAATGCTTAAGTTGTTATTTTGTTTAATGGAATGATTAATTAAATAACAAGGCTGTTCTTGATAACAACTTAAACTGTTGTTAAGAAATAAACAAGGTGTTTGTCGTATCTTAAAGCAAAGTAGTAGAGTTGTCATGAACACTGGACGTCAATTCAACATTTGCAATTATTACCTGGGCCGGATTGTTCAAAACTCAATTAAACTAACCCAGAATTAGTGCGAATTTTAATTTCAGTTTTGTAGCTTTTTGCTGAGGTTTTCTGTTTAAATAAATATAGTTTGCCCTTCAGTTTTGAGCTTGAGTAATTATCTCTAAATACACAAGACATAAAAAGTGTCAACCACTTTCAAACAACGTGGCCCTGACATTTAGCACACCTAGACTTTTTACTTTTTTCTTTCTTTCTTTTTCTGAATATACCCGTGTGATTGATGAAATAAGAAAAAAATAATCTTCATGAGGAATGTTGTCCTATGATTTTTTTAACATCAAAAGGATATCAGTAGCTTTGAAAAAAGGCTTCATATTTCATGTGCCCTGCAATCTTTAAAGATGTGGAACAATTTCCTTGTTTCTGTTGAGTTGCAGAAAACAAGTTTGGGAGAATGAGAAATGTTGTGGAAACACAAGCTGCAGACAAGTGTTTCCACAGCTTTTTCAAGTTCTCCCAAGTTTTTGCAAGTGTTTCTACTTGTAGAACTTGAAAGAAACACAGAGGTGATGTTCTTTTTTTCTTTTAGCAGGAAGAGGAAGGAAAACACTGTTTAGTTTAATTGTCAAAAAGTATTTAGAAAGTAGCTCGAAGGGTATATGTGTTAGGAATGTCTTGAAAGATGGTCGGAAATTTCCAACCGATATATGAGGAATCCCGATTTCTCAAACCCTCATTCGAACCTCCCGATAACTCGAATCAAAAGTTGTTTTCCTCTCCTCAGTCAAACACTGTAATTTTACCTCCGATTTCTTGAACTATCCAATTTTTCAAACCAATTTTCGTTTCCCTTGGATGTTCGAAAAATCGGGATTCCACTGTATCTGAATGGAAAATGTGCTTAATTAACATTTGCAATTCTCCACCAGTTCTAATCGTCACCCTTGAATAATGATCAGGTTGAACTTATTGTAGGCTCTCTCAGTAAATTTGGGGCTGGCCAATCTGGACAGAACTTGTTTATTTGTACCTTTTGCACAAACTGTCGACAAATCAGTTTCTCTGTGTAAATGGCAAATGACCAAAGTCTTTGGTAGGGTTATTGCAAAATTTCTGAAACCAGTCCATTTCTAAAACTTTGTCAAAATGATATAAATTTGGTTTCAAGATTGGGTGGACAAAATGGAGCTTTTACCAGGAAGGGCTAGGGGAGATGAAGAGAATTAATGTTAAAGTTAATGGTGGAGTGTCCCAACAAGCTAAGGTGATAAAAAGAATGTGAAATTTTATATCCATGTTGGGAAATCCATCTCTTTTCATGAAGTTATTATTATTTCTTAATATTAAACATTAATTGTGTGGTTCCAGAAAATATCCATATCCCCCACAGAGGGTTTTTTTTCTAGTTTGACCCCCCACTCCCCAGGATTTTCCATTCCAGGGGACTTCACAGTACTTCCCCCACTCCCTGGAATTTCCATGATTTTTCTGCTTGGGTCCCCCCTACCCCTCAGAAATTCCGTATCTATAAAAGACAAGACTTAAGTCATCAATTGTAATAAAATTTAGCCGCAGCTGTTTAGATTTACATTGTAGACAAAGACGTACTTTTTCACAGTAGACTGCAGACGTGGCGTGTTGCTTCATGTCATGTTAAAATGTTTTGAACTGGTGTTTAAACTAATAAACAACTGACTTAAAAGCGCTTCACTCCCAAATGGCATAGCAGCTGACTTTTTCTTTATTAAAGGAAGTTTTCACATAGGAATCTCGGAGCGTACATAAAGCTCTTTCAAATAACTGAGTCAAAGTTTTAATTTATAATGCATGGTCAAAACAACATATCGAATTACTTTACACATGCAGTAAAGTCGTCATGCAACATTTTTTTCAAAACAGCTGTTTCCCAAATATCGCTTTATTTTTTCTTTCACCAAAGGAATACATCTATTAAGTCATACACTTTGTCTCTGTAACAGCAGTGCTGGAAATAATTTTTCTTCTTTAGCAGGACATGTGTCCTTTCAAATCTTCATTTTGGTTGGACATCTTATCAATTTGACCGGACATTAATTTGCGTAATTGATTAGCATAATTAATTAGCATAATAAAATTTATCGGCATACTGTAAAGATTTTCAATACAAATCATTCAAAACTGCATTTAAATTTGATTTATTTATCATTTATGATGATTATATGACTTAATCTACAAGATGACTGCACGGATCTCTCCTGGTTATCTCCTGATTATATGTTCTTCAAGCAAACCTAGTTTCCTATTGAATTTTACCACTAAAGGGAAACAGTCAGCTTTGGGACCACGCTGACCTGGACACTAGTTTTCTCACTTTGAAAAAAGTTCACCTCAACCTGAAATCAAAGTACATCTAGAAATCAACTTCAATCTTTGCAATGTTTTTCTTGATTTTCAATCGTTCACTGAAAAACCTGTTTTTGAGTGTGCTTTTGCTCAATCCTATGATGTTATTTTTATCATATTTGGTTAAAAACAGTATGGATTGCGTCTCTGTGATGTGCAAATTAGCTATGAAATGGTATCTAATGTGCATGTGCTCCAGCTGACTGTGTCCCTCTGAAGTAGGAGCCCATCACAATATTAGTGTACAACTACCCCAATTATTCCTGTCCCGGTGTTTTCACAGACCAATCTACTTTTAGTTTGAATTTACCGTGAATTCAGCCCCCCCCTCCCACCCCCAAGAACCTCAGTGACCAATCACAAGCATGGACTTTATAATTGCACCAGAAGATTAGGTCAACATGTCCACCTGAGGCCGCCATTTTTCTCCTTACCAATTTGCGCTCATATAGACTGGAACTGACCT